TTTTCCTGTCTTTATTTCACATCACACCATCAGTATACCAGCATGTTTCCCTACTGAAAGTTTACCAATATATTTCCATTTTGCATTCTCACAAGTGCTTGCGTTGCTCTGAATAAATGCCAGTCATTTTGTTAATGCTGGACATTAGTGTTCAGTTGTGCAGTGACGTGCCCAGAAGGAGAACCTTTCTGAAGTAGTTCACGTACACGATGCCTGACGTGGTGTTAGTGCACTCTTGAACATGTGCTTGTTCACGTCATCGAAGGTTGCTGGGTTAGGACCCCATACGAGATTAATCTTAACATCAGTCTCGGTATTAGTGCGACTTTTAGGATACTTATACTTTATGCTTAGGTCTATATTTAACTTCACGTTATTGGAAAGGTGAGGCTGTCGGGCTACTTGACGGTAGGGGAGCTTTCTGTCCTCTGAGCGGCTTTAGGGGCTACAGGAGGGGGGGGGGCACAGGAGGGTTGGAGCCCACGGGAGGGGAAGGGGCCAGAAGAGGAGGGGAGGCCACACAAAGAGGCAAGGGAAGGAGGAACGATCAAATCTGTCTTCTTAACTCAACATCACGCAGAATACGACCGAGACGCCGATAAACAGGTCTTGAGTGCCGAGTAACCCATTTCCTCTTTCAAGACCTCCCTTAGACAAATTACGCAAAGGATTAGGTAAGATTGGACAGATTATTATGAACTTTGGCTGGGTATAAACAGAACCTTCTCCACGTGGGCTGACAAACTTGCTGCAATTTTTTCCTTCATTTTTATGTTCTTTACGGTAGTTATCCAGGTAAGGTTGGGAGACGACTTAGTTGCTGCGTCTACCGTAACGCCTTCGCTCCATCTACACATTGATCTCAGCATTAATTTTCTTATGGCCCTTTTAGGAGAATGGGATCACAGTCCATCGCTCAGACTCGGTAACCTCGTCAGTCTGGATTAGGTTCAAGCGACGTTTCCTAACCTCCTCCCTCCAGCTCAGGACATATCCAGTAGTGGAATTATAACATTAGCTAGACAATGACATCACTCACGTCTATTAGTCCAAGCTGTAGAATCAAGAACAGCACTAGGCTTCAAAATAACCCTTGATAGAATTAGCAAGAACAATGGAGTGATCCTATACACTGACCTCCTTCCTTCGGCATGGCCACCTTTAGTGAAAATCATGGAAATCATATTAAAATTTGTGTTGTTGTTTTGTTATCTAAAATCTTAATCACCATGAAAATTATATTACATTCCGTGCTGGTAAGGATGGCAGGCAGTCAGGTTAGTCAAGTCAGGTCAGGTCACCCGGAGGTAAGGGTCGACAGTCATCTCATGGGACTAATTTCAATACAGTACCTGCACATTCTTGACGCAATTTTACCGGGTTTTATTAAGATCCTGTTAATTTGCCCAGACCAATGGCCTGAGTCTGTATAGCGCTCCAGACACATAAAAGAATCCTGTGCTTATACAAAGAAATCTTGATCAACCAGTAAATAAATGAATGGTTTAACAGGAAAGTGTAACTTGAAGAAAAAATGTTGGCTAGTGACTTGGGATTTATATCTAGAAGTGTAAGTAACAAGAGTGCAGAGGTCTTATTGCAACTATATCTTGCGCTAGTCAGGTCGCACCTCGATTATGCGGTTCAGTTCTGGTGCCCCTATTATAGAATGAATATAAATTCACAAGAGTCGGTGCAGCGAAGAATGACAAAAATTATTTCAGGACTTAGAAACCTTCCATATCAGGATAGGTTAAAGAAACTTAACTTGCATTCCCTAGAAAGACGAAGAGTGCGGGGAGATATGATAGAAGTATTTAAGTGGGTGAAAGGAATCAATAAAGGGGGATATAGATAAAGTTCTTATAATATCCGAGCAGGATAGGACTCGGAGCAACGGATTCAAGTTGGATAAGTTTAGGTTTAGGGGGAGATAGGAAGAAACTGGTTCACAAATAGGGTGGTGGACGAGTGGAACAAGCTTAGCAACTTTGTAGTAAGTGCGGGAACTCTGGAAAGTTTCAAAAGGAGGCTAGATAGATTCATGGATGATAGAGAGTGGTAGTAACTCTCGACAGGAGCTGCCATGCACAGGCCAACCGGCCTATTGCAGACTCCTTATTTTCTTATGTTCTTATGTTCTTGTGTTAAGTACAATAGGAATAATCCATAGTAACTATTTATTATTTATCAGGATATTTGTATTTATTCTTATTTTATTTATTTTCATCTCTTATCTGTCACTCTGTCGCTACAAAAAATTCTCGAACGCTCTAAGTGTGTGTGTGTGTGTCCGTCTGTGCCTCTATATGTGTGTCTGCGTAACACTCGCCCAAAAGAGTTCTCGAACGCTCTAAGGGTTATACAATATGACAAAACGAACGAGAAATGTGAACGATGCTCTCTGAAGAAACTTTATTCCAAATTAAATTACTACTTTTCATTGCATTTTATAGAGTACAACGGCTGCAAAATAGTATATTTTCCAGTGTGTTTTACCCCCCCCCCCCCATTGTTGCTAAAGAGCCGCTGAGCTATCGAGTTACTTTACTGTAAAACAGGGAATAACACTACACTAAACTGAACACCACACATAAAATGTTTGATTCCTTTAATTCATCACCTAGAGCCACAGTACTCAAGGTGTGGAGCCTCACATGTCGCTCACCATAATTGGTCTAGACTGGACTAAGCTGGACTCATTTGATTATGTCACCCAACAGAGGCTCTATCTGGACTGACCACAACTCACAAACTAACTAACCAGACAAGAACTAAGTCAAGCTCAAGTCGAACTGAACGTTTGGGAAAGTTACAGCACAAATTATACATCGTCTTAAGGTCTTTATAATTCCGCCTCAAGTCTATGGAAGATGTTACAGTGGACACAAAATAATACATATAAGTGAATAAAATTATAGAGAATATTTATCAAGGTTTGGATTGTGACTTCCTAAAAAAAATTAAATTAAAACTAAAAATTCAAGAGGTTACGTACAATGTGCTGTATACAGATTTATCGTAACAGTGCTCTGACAGGATTGATAAAAGTGGTCCCAAATTACTACCTTAATTAAAGCCTTTATATCCACATACAGACTTCATCATTAACTGTGGTAATGATTGTTATATATTGATAGGATAACAAATTATTTTTTGTCTTAAGCTGATTAAGAACTTATTAGAATAAACGAATAAAGAATGACATAGTACTTATTTATATTGTTAATCAATTTGGTTCATTGTGTTAAGTACGGTGAACAGATTTACAAATATGTCCAACATGGTACATTTGTTGTGTAACCTTGATCATATCGTAGCGTAGTCAGTATTGTTGGTGCTACAGCCTTCAAGTTTCCTATCCAAAGTGACTAAAGGTTATAACAAGGATAACAACACCCTTATAATATGCAAAAGATATGACTTGTTTATTTTTCGTGGATTTACTTATATATAGTGAGGGCGTCTCATTAATCGAGCACCATAGGAAAATTAATGTTCTAATCTTTTTCCTTCTTCAAGTAATCATAGCAAATCCACGAAGATTAGGCGAAGAGGACCTTACACCTCTCGATTGCTTCATCCAGGATCACTTAAATCGTTCTTGTTGATTTGTTATAATTCCCTTGCCTTAAGAAGAAAGAAGATAACATTAAATTGTCTATCAAGGGTAATAATAATAACTTTAATGTTTAATATCATGAAGTTTTTACATGATCAAAACGCTGACACCCACCACAATTCAGTTGACATTCTTCCATGTGGTGACCCTTGGTAATGAGAGCACTGAATGTGAGTTTCTTTGAGGAGTTTATAGAAGGAGAGTATAAGAGAAAATAATGTGAGGGGAGTGAGGTGAGGGATGGAGAAATAAAGCGGAGAGGGCGACGAGTGTGTGAGAATGACAAAAGATAAATGTGGGTGAAGAAAAAGAAAAAGTTTATGTAGAAGAGGAAGGCGAGAGAGGAGGCTGTGCTGGAGTGGTAAGAGGAGTGTTGGTGTAAATATTATACAAAATAAGTTAGTTCATAAGTACCTCCTTCTGAAGACGACTTTCCAAAACTTATGAGAAGGGGGATGGAAGTTAATTCAAGTGGAGATGTTAAGGGCTTTGTGCACCGTTGCGGAATATCTGGAAAACTTATTATAGTGAAGTAATAACAGGCTACAGCATCTAACTTTCTATTGGTACGTACATAGAAAAATAGTCATGGGGTCACCTTAATGCTGTTCTTTAAATGGACGTAAGGTAGAGTCAATCATCTAAAACTCTGATGCTTGTTGGTGAATCACTTGTCGTAGGTTTTAAATATTATCGTCTGGTTAAACTTAATATCAACAAGGGCTCTAATGTGAAATAGGGACAAGTTTTTTTTTTTATAATTCCAAGAATATTAGTGAAGTTAAGGTAAAACGGACTCTTATCTCACTTTGCCAGAACTGAGTCAGGTTAAGTTTGGTAAAGCTTGGTTGAGACAGTGGTTAAAGTTGGCCCAATTACTGTCCACTATGATCTGCATCAGTTTTGTCTACATGGTGGTTATGTGCACAACAGTATGAATACTCCAAAAACTCAAAAACTCAGTCAAATTATCCCTCAGCTAGAACTATCCCTAATACATATGATAAACATAAAATGGCGGTAGGAATCATTGGATAAATGGTAACACAGATCCACTTTTTCCAAGTGAGAAGGGGATAGAGGGCGTGACCATACACGCCAGGATGGGCTGAGTTGCCCATAAATGTGGAGCGTCTCCCGAATACACCCGGCTTCAGAGAAAGGGTCATTTGTCAACTTGTCGCCATGTTGTATTGTTACATCGTTACTAGTGTATTAAAAAATATTGCTGAGTGCCTTAGGTGAATGATATGAAATAAAGAAAGAAATCGCTAAATTTGTTCTACTTATTGCAGTGTAATATTATAATATGTGTGATATTTAGATAAAAAAGAAAACTTACGCATGCGCAGAGCGGCGAGAGACTGACAATCCAGTAACTTCCAGTTCCAGCACGCTGGAGCCGAGTGGCGTAGTATAGCGCTGGGTCTCTTGACGTCAACAGCTGAGTACTCGTCAGCTACCTGCAGGTGGAGGTGAGCAAGAAGTTATGTGAAATACAGGGTAAAAATAGGGTGAAATACCTTGAAATACACGTATAAAATTAATTTGGATAACAATTAATATGTCAAGTAAGCAAGGTTTAGTGATCTTGAGACTCCCGAGTGGGTACATAAACTATTTAAGTGATTCGTCTCCTTTACGGATAAACATTATTCATTATATGCGGTTCATTTTGTAACATATTTTAGAAACGTCTTTAAGTCTTTTCTAAATAACTAAATGTTGTGAAAAATAAATTAATTGTTTTAGGCTTGACAATGTTATCTGGCGGCACTGGAAATTTGTTTTTTAAAATGTTAGATATTACGTGTTTATACTGACTATGTTTTTATTTGTGAACACATTACGTACAGAAGCTTGGTCTCTAATGTAGTGTTTTAAGATTCTTCTCATAAAATATTGTTAATTACATACAACCTTTTAACCTCCATAATTATGATACAATGTTTTTGATGCGCTCCTTGTGGGTATTATTAACGAGTGGCGTGTAAAGGTATGTCATCATTATTGGGGAGATAAACGCACGATTAAATGTTTATAGTGACGGAATAACTATCGTATGTACCGTACCCTGAGTCAGTTGGTCCCGGATTGAAATCATCAGTCAGGAGGTAATGCAGAATTTAATAGACTAATTGGGGTACCCGGCGTTGCCCGGATTTGTGTGTGTGTGTGTGTGTGTGTGTGTGTGTGTGTGTGTGTGTGTGTGTGTGTGTGTGTGTGTTATGGGACCAACCTCCAAAATTCACACTCTTGGGATGCATGCCCATATGCCCAATTTCAGCTCTCTACCTTCAAAGGTATGGTAGAGCATAGGGAACAGACAGACTGTGTGCCTCATATATTAGACTTACGAGTATTCACAGGGCTATTTACACTAACATACCAAATTTCAAGGGACCAACCCCCCAGGCTACACCTTCAATTACATAATCATTATATATTTCAGGTGTGTTAAGAAGGGGATGAGGAAAACAAAAAGTCTAGAAAGATTCTCAAATACATCCTAAATTAGTATATCTCTACGTGGGGGATTATTGTATTTCTATCCTGACTCAGACACTGGGCCAACACCCCAAGTATGACGCCTCTGAGACGTCTGGTAGAGAGGCGTACTCAGTGTGTGTGAGAGCATTGTGTTAGGGTATCACGCGTGTGTGTGTGTGTGTGTGTGTGCACTCTCTACCGCTCAACATTGTGTGTACACCTGGGTGCTTTTGTGACTGGATATACTGTATGTCTGGCTGTCTGGATGTGCGTTTGTGCGCGCGTGTGTAAGTTTGTACTCTTCACCATTCACATTGTGTATACATCTGCATCTGTGTGAGAGTGGATGTACTGTATATGTCTGTGTATCTGTGTGCGCGCATGTGATATGTGTGGGTGCGTATATGTACTCTCCATCACTCACATTGTGTGTACATATTTGTATGTGCATGGGTGCGCTTGTGAGTGGATGGATGTGTGTGTACAGTATATGTTTACAAGTATATATGTGAACGTATGCTTTATGTACACAAACAGTAAGATATACGTATGGTCGTGTACCCCCACTACTGAAACACAACCAAACATCCAGAATGTTCCCGGGCCGGTGGAGGTTGTTTGGACTTACTTCCTAGCCCCCATTAGTCCCTGTTCACCTAGCAGTAAAGTAGGTACCTGTTGTAAGTCGAAAGTTGCGAATTCGTATTCAGGGAAAGTTGTTGGAGCTTCCAATAACTTATTGACATAAACCACTGACTCTTCAGGCTTCTACGCCCTTGACTCTTGACGCTTGTAGGGTGTCTTTAATTATGGTTCATCAGGGTTAACTGTGAATGGTCATGGCGTGTAACTGGTAGTTCTCACTGACTGTGGTTAATTATGCATGACTGGTGATAACTGGGAATGACTGAGGATGACTAGAAGCTACTGGTGATGACCAAGAATGACTGGTGATGACTAAAAGTGAATGGTGATGATTTTAGATGACTGAAATTGACTTTAAATGGCAGGAAATGACTATAGATAACTAGAATTTACTTGTAGGTAACTGGTGATGAGAGAGCGTGACTGCAGACGACTTTTATTTACTTATAGATGACTGTTGATAACGTGAGGTGACAGTAGAAGACCGGAAATTACTTGAAGACTTGAAATGAGTATAACTGAGTGTTGTACCCGGCAAGAGGGAAAGATAATCAATACGGATGGTGTTTTGAAGAGTTATGTTGACAGTAAGATTTAAAAGTAATAAATTATCAACTCACTTTGGGTTCACGTCATAAATTCTCGAACTTCGAAGTAAAGTTTATTTCCTCGCCAGTAAGAAAAAGAGAGCCACGTGGAGTGACTGTAGTATTGATGCAATAAGATGCTATTTTGTCCTCCATCTACGTATAGGTATTTACGTGTCCATTTGAGGATGAATCTGGGGATAGTTTAACCTGCAACTATAATACCTGTAACCCCTCATAACACCTACATGTGCTGCACATGCAACACCTGCAATAACTATAACACCTACGAATGTTGTCAACGTATATTATCTTCAATATGACTTAAACTCCCTGATTGATTGTCTACGGGTTATTGTAGGTAACCAGGCACCAACACTCCCGCCACCACACAGAGCTGTCCACCACCACCACCACCTCTACTTATAATGTATGGGTGACCCTGATGTTGCGCCTCACCAACTTATTACGCCCACACGTCCACAATTACTCCTCAATTCTGTCATTCTGGAGAACTACGACTCTGCTTCCTCAACCCATGCGCCCTGGCTATACCTCCCACACATACACTGAGGGAGAGCGTGAGTGTGGACCCACCCAGACATCAAGGCTTCAAATTTGCAATGCTGCCTCCTCCTCCTCCTCCCACCTCTCGAAAAATATACAGACGTATGAGAATAACCTGAGTCGTGGGAGGGAACCGGAAAAGGTTGGGAGGGAGAGAATGTAGGACGGTAGGGAGCGGGGTGGAACAGAGGTGGGATGGGAGGGAGCATAAGGGTGGAATGGGGTGGAAGGGTGTGAGGGAGCTTGACTAAGTTATAAATTCACGCTTAGTAACTTCTAATGGGCCACGGAGTTGAGTTTTCTTCCCAGTGAATGTGACGGTGATTTAACTGGGTTGTTTATTGGGCTGTGATTAACCTTATGCTTAATATTTTTGTTGTTGTGTTACGGTTCTCTGGTAGGTAAGACTCATCACCCCACAGTAGACACGCGTAGTTTTCTTTTCCTGTTCTAAGACTAACTGCACAATATATGAGATCTCAGTTTTTTCGCTGTTCTTTTTTTTTTCTTCTGATTATGCCTTTTTTTTTTATGGAAACAAAGTAAACCTTGCGTACTCAGACATTATCATATTTCCAACACAGTATATGAACCACCTACAGTATTTATTGAGAAAACTTGTAGATTCCGAACACTGAAGGTAAATACTTTTTTCTACAAACTAGAAGTAATTAAACTTCCCTCCTCTCCTATGCGAGTATATTAAATGAAATTTCCAACACTGGCAATTTAAAAAAAAAAATTCTATTTCTCCAAAGCTATGATGAAGGTGACGTCACCATCATGGCGATTGATGATGGTGCTGTTAGCAACATTCGCCGCCGCTGCTGCCGAGTCCACGGCGTCATCTGTTGAGTCCCTGCTGGGATCCGCCCTGGGGTCCGACACGGTGAGGCAGGGAGTGAGCTGGAGCAATAGTTTAGAGAAAGAGGAGATGCTTCGCGACACCAAGAACAACAGAAGCACCAAGGGTGTAGGACACCAGAGGGTTAAACGGCAACTCATTGACTTCGCCGACAACGCCGTCATGGAGTTTTACTTTCGGCTGGTGGTGCCGTACTGGACACTGCCCAACGTTAGTGAGTGACTGGACGTTGCCCTGAATAAATGAGTAAATTGGACATTACACAGGTTGAGTAAACGTATTGGAGGTGCCCTAAAGATTATATATTGAACAAGCTCTTGGCAGAATATATATTACCCCGTACCTGCACCAATACTGTGTATTCCTAGGTTACATTAGATCAAAATCGTAGGTTTTTAGTTAGATTTATTTCATTACGCTACCCCCTCTGCGAATTTAATACAATAACAGACAGAATTCATAAAATCACCCAGCTGCTGCTTCCCAACCTGACGTACTCCCAGTTCAATGTGCTAACTCGGGGAGGTTAAGTCACTTTTGGTTCTGAATAGTTCATTTAGGTGAAATTTAGTGTCATTATGTTATTTTGTCTTTGTTAATAAATAGTTTGATCCGAGATAATTATTAGTTAATTTGGGTTACGGTATGTTAAGCCCGACAGGTACTCAGTTCACTGCGGTTAGATCAGGTCACGTTTGGTTCGGATAATTTCAGTTAAATAAAATTTATAGCAATAGATTAAATTTTCATTGCACATGAATAGTTGAGACCTATTTTATAAAATTTGGTCAATTTGGGTTACGTTATGTTAGGTAGCAGTTAAATGAGTTACTACCGAGCAAGCTTTTGGCACCTCCCGCGTGTACAGTACCTACACCCAGTATATACTGTTGATTCACCGACGGAAAGTGTCATGGTTTTAGTTAGATATATTGTAAAAATTACCTGCTTTACCATTACGTTATACTAGCTGGAGTACGTTCCGTTGCCTGGGTTTTTTATTTTGACGAATTAAAGGTAAGCAGAATGTGTGCAGCCACAACACCCAGACCACATGTGTTTGTGAGATTGTCCTGTTAAACGACTAGGCAGACTCATTTTGCCTAGTTCCTGAAATGGGTTCCTAACCCAACCCAACCTAACCTAACTTCATCCAACCCAACCCAACCCAACTTAACTTGCCTTAAATTAACCGAACCTTAGGTAACCAAGGTTAAGTTAGGAGCCTATTTCAATACCTGGAAAATTTCACAGTGTAAAGTGTAATACGTTATATATATATATATACATATATATATATATATATATATATATATATATATATATATATATATATATATATATATATATATATATATATATATATATATATATATATATATATATATATATATATATATATATATAGAAAATGTGTCCTTATTCTTATTTATAATTAAGCACACGAGTATTTTATCATATTTTCTGAAACGCGAAACCAGGAGCTATGTTATTCTATACCGGATCAGTGTTTAAATCAGACAAATGATGTATGCTTACACCCACAGAGACGAGGGGGGACTACCGCCTTGAGGTGACTTACGAGTTGCCCAACCAGTTACTGCGTCGTCGCAAGAAACGCTCGCTGGTGAATGAGCGCTCAGCCCTCTACAGCCTCCTCGGGGACTTCCTCTCTAAGTTAGTAAATCCTCCGTGTCCAGTGTCCGACCCACTCCTTCTATTTCTGAGTTTTCAAAGACTCGTACATTAAAGTTCCTCATTAACCGAGTGTAAGACACCTCTAGTTAAAATAGAATGTCAATGAAGTCTCGACACCCATTATTAACCACCATTCTTTGTACTAAAGCTGCTTAATTGAGTCAGTTCTCTGCAATATTGTACATACAATTATGAAGAAAAAAACGTGAGAATCAGAACCTTTTCCCTGATTTATGGAGGATGAATAAATAAATAAAAGCAAAATTATGTAAATGAGCCGTGTGTTGTGTCGACAGGGCGGGACTAGACGGGGAGGAGTGTGTGTTGCGGGCGGTGTGCGAGGTGGGTGAGGCGCCTCTTGAAGAATACGGCATCCTTGGCGAGTTTATCAATCTCATCTTCGCGTAAGTCCTTCCTTCTGGTACTCTGTATCACCGTAATAGTGACCTTGTTTCTCAGGTTCATTTTTCGCCCCTGACTTTCCATAACAATGGCCTCCTTTCCTTAGTCTTGGCCTCGCGATTTCTATAACAATGAACTTGGGTTCTTAATCTTCAGGAAGATGTGCTCATTTCCACCTAAATTTCGGTCCATATCAGGTCCTTCAATCTGAAGGGAGAATATAGTCATAGGCACCGGCCGTGCGTTCGTCCGTTCGTCCTTCCTTCCTTCTATCCATGAACAACTTTTTTCATAGACAGTGCAGTTGGTTGTTTTTAAGCCTTTATCGCCGTGTACTTTATCATCTCATATTTAGGGACACAGTGCCTTCACTGTAAATTCGTTTTCCTCTGTTTTGCAAGTAACTTCTTGCTGAAGCTCTCTCTCACTTAAAAGTTCATTGCAGTACAATAGCTCTGACTTAAACCTCCCAAAATGGGAGTCTTATCGACAAACCGCATTTAATTAAGGTTCTCTGTGTATCGGTTCTTGCTGATGAAGCCTGATCCTAATATCTTTTAACAGTTTGGTTTCTACTAATAGGGCTTATCCGGGGCTACCAAACTGGTGCCGGCCACTTATCAAGAGGGCCAGACCATGTACTGTACGTACAATTACCTATTTTGTGCTGCAGTAAGGCAAGGAGTGGTTTAATAAAGGATATTATTCAGTTAAATACACATTTTTAAGTTAGCGGATGGCCACCCCATTAAACGCCACAGCCTCAAGTTAAAGAACCTATCGCTACAGAAAACTGTCAGATCTAACTTTGGAATAATAGTAGTAAACTTTTGGAATAACCTGCCAGAGAATGCTGTGACAGCACCAAGTGTAAGCTGCTTCTAGTCCAGACTTGAAAAACCTGACACTGACATGTTCAGGTACACATTCAAGAGCCCGTACACGACGAAGAGTATACGGTTTTCTGATTGTTCTTGAACTAATAAGATTGGCTTTGGGCTATAACTTTCCATTAGCTATTTCCCATTACAGTATTTTATAATCCTCCTGGAAGAATCCACATCCCTATCGCTAACACAGTCGCCGCTCCTTCCTCAATCTTGGCCCAGTCTCGTTATGTAACAAGTAAATATTAAATCTGAAGGATAATGTCTCATGATTTGTGCCCCTGGGGGCTAAAGTTTTCACTTCGGTCACCATCTCTCTTCGCTGGTTATATTGATGTTGTGGTTTGGGTGTTTGCTCACTGTATTACACAGTGGGTGGGATAATTAACAAGTTAGAATAGACAAGTTTTAAATTTCTACAACAATATTTGTAAGGTTATTGGGTGTTCGTTCACTACTTCAATCGATATCACCGTAATTTGAATCCCTATACCTAGAGCATAGTTGAGCTGTTTGTTAATGACCTAAAATCTCATGATTCTATAAACTACAGTTTTATGATCTGTAAAGGCTTCCTACATGAGTGTCTCTTCCCATCAATTTAGTTTTACACCACTTCGACTTTTTAAAAATACAGTATCTTCCCCTTACACCCTTACCCGACAGGCTGTAATATTCTTTCTAGAATATATAATCACTGGGATGGATGATTGAAAATGGGTCCCCAGAGAGATCCAAAATCTTGGAACACTGGTAAAAACAGCCCCCAAAAACGTTTAAAGTGAAGGACTGTGGTGGCAAGCCCTCAGATATGAGAACGGTACTGTGATTGATTGATATTGACAAGTCCAGCAAATTGCAGCGCCAACTAAAGCATTACCACAACGACTTTGAAACGTTCTACTTTCTCTGTCATTGAATATAAACCTGAAATGACTAAGTCTTATTTACACAACTGACACGACACACGACCACATTTTGATTTATTTTTAATATTTAGATAATATTTTCCACTTATCTGGCAAAGGATAAACATGAAAGAATCCAACAAGTCTTCCAACCATCCTTTTCATTCTTCCAGGCCGGGATTCCAGGGTGATGAGTTCCATAGAGACCATATCCAGGCGGAGGAATATGGAAGGAGCTACGGCAATTGCTGGTCTGCCTTCCCCGACTGCCCAATGTCCTTGAGAGAAATGCTCCATGAATTCTTCCTCAACAATGCTGAAGTCCCCACAGAAAATGGAACTTAATTCGTTTTCTGTGAAGGATATGGATAACTATACTATAATAAGGTGGCTGCCTTTTGTGTGAAAAAGTATTACGAAAGAACGAACTTAGTTGCGAACAACAGATTCATAGTAAATCTCAGGAATGGAGGGTTGTTTTTTATTAATTTATTATATTTCTCAATGCTTGATATGAAACAAAGTTAACATTTTCTTTACGTATGTGGATCAAATGTTGCCATTGGAATTATACAGTGCAGAAAGTCTGTCATTGATATAAAAATCAGTGAATGAAATGTCAAGTATGTATGACTAATATTTATATGTTGGTTCTTAGGTACTAAATACAACCATGATGCTTAGAAACGTAATCAATATCGTTTAACACACTGTAATATAATTCATATACTGTACAGTAGATCGGGCTAAGGATGGTTCCTCAGAGCCTAAGGTCTTGGAATTATTTGTTGATTGTACAAATTTGTTGACTTTTGTTGCTTTTTAAAATGGTCCACTACAAAAAAAATAAAAAATAATTTTAAATAAATATATATGAATATTGTATATTTTGATAAGTTTTAATTTAACATATCTTTCATCACCAAATGCAGAGGTCATGTTTGCTTCGCCTGCCACAAATGCCACAACAGGCGAGCCATTCACTATAAGTACAGCATCTTTATCATTTCCGGTGGGGTCATACTTTACATTATCCTCTTCAACATCAATTTTGTCACCTTACCAGCAGGTAGAGCGGTCGATCACTTCTCTGTTATGTGTTGTTGGTAAGTATTGGACAAGTGCAGGCTCTTGAATGTGCACAGTACGTGAACATGTGCCAGTATTCGTCAGATCTGGATTTAAAGGGACCCACAGTTCGAGCTGCCACAATATTCTCAGTAATATTCCAAGAGTTCGCAACTCTCACTTCAAAAAAGTTAACGCTGGCTGCTTTTTTTTTATATGGTAGCTTCTTTAACTTGAGTATGTGACCTCTAGTGGGAGGCAATCCGTTACCTTTAGATCTGTACATTTGACTAGGTAATGTCCTTAGAAGTGTTATACACTTTGGTTAAATGGCCCATTGGCCTTCTATAGTACCAAATAGGCAAATAAAGACGTTCTAATCTATATTGAAAAGTAAGGTCTGTGAGTGCTGGCACCAGTTTGGAGGCCCTCCTTGGGGATATCTCGGTCAATTGGGTGAATCTCGGAAACCGAAAAGAATTACTGAACACTGCACTAAGAGTAGTAGGAAGCACTACATTTTTTAAAACTTCAAGAGAGATGGACCATCTATTTCATTGGCGTCAGTGTTTAGTTTTTGTGATTAGGTCAAATTCTTAACAAATCGCTGGAGACACATTTGTGTCAACACTTGTGAAGTAATACAGGATTGATACAACACGCCTTCAGCTATAAAGTCTAAATAAAGTAGTTTCTTTTTGTTTGTATTGCTGACTAACCAAAATGATCTTTTTTATTATGACGAGTAAATACGATAGAAAAACATTCCGGGCGATTAGAGACCGTTATATACAACTGTGGACCAAGAGGTATTAGTTTGCCCCCCCTTGAATTTATTTCATAACGGGATACACAATGAAATTATATATATATATTTTTTTCAATTCTTCACTATATTCAAGATAAGGAGGAATAGTATTGACGTTGACGTAAATTTTGTAACGGTATATTCCATGTTCTTTTCATCACAAGGTATTTTATTAAGATATTTCTAGCTTATATAATAAAGGTGTTTATACAATCTTTCAAGGGGGTTACTGTATACACTTTATTATTATCTTTACTGTTTCACTTCTTTTCCCGTTTAATACAGGATGGCCGAAAACCTGCATCGTGTGTTTATCCATTGTTAAAACATTAATGATTTTACTTTTACGAGGCTGTGAGACCTGAGGCGCCTTGAGATTCGCCCAAGGGAGCATTTACCAGTACCAACCACCGCTAACAGGAAACGCCTTCATAGGTATCACGGTGGCCGTCTACTCAGATGTCTTCCTGGATATTTATATTGTATGAATCATTCTTCAACGAACATCTAATTTATCCTCTCCGTCTCGTCAGTTTTAATGATAATTAAAGTATTTAAATTTGTGTACACTATAGACAGATTTGGGAAATATTGGTGGAAAAGATTAGAATGTATTGATCGTGAGGTGAGAAGCCAGCATCATGAGCGAAGGTCGATTGATGACGACAAGGCGAGCGCGGCTCACGGACGTCTGGTTGAAAAGTCCTTGGTTTTCAATACACATGATAATATTGTTTTAGAAGTCCATCACGCAAACCCTTTTTATTTTGAGTCCATGATTGTTTAGCATATGTGCATATCGTGGCGTGAGGTTGGTGTTAGCGTCATTTACTTTACTTTATTCTCTTCGCTCACATCGATCACGTCTCTGTTACATTGCGTAACAGAGATAGGAGCGAAGAGAATAAAGTAAATAATTCTAGCATCAACCTCACGCCAAGATAGCAATTACTGAACATGTACTGACTCCAGAATGTATCCGAACCTGCGCCGTTGTTGGTGAAAACTAGTGAATTAATTCGTACTCGGTACCGTCACAACATTTTCTGGCAGATTTTTCCTAGAGTTCACAACACTCACTCCAAAAAAGTTTGCCATGACAATTTTCTGAACTTACGGCTTCTTCAACCTGAGGCTGTAACCTCTAGTGGGGTGGGCATCCGCTAGTGTTCTAATCCCAGATATGAACTTCATATGAGATGATAGACTTAAAAACTGTAGCCGAAGTCCCTGGTTATAACAACATATGAATAATTATTTCCACACACGATTATATATATATATATATATATATATATATATATATATATATATAGAGAGAGAGAGAGAGAGAGAGAGAGAGCAAAATCTGCGCTCTTTTAATACCTGACACTTATTAAGAATAACCAAGAATTGCTCTTAAGCAGCTTCAGAACAGGGTGAATGACACGGACGGACAGGAAACATTGCTCTCAATAAACGAGTGAGTCAGTCAGGACTATACACAAAGCTGATTGATACAGCTTTGGATGATTCCCGCCAGTAAACGATAAAAGAGCCAGAAACGCAATTCATCGTATCCAATTTTTGTATCTCGGACATCACTACTGTACAGTACTTTATGTATGTTTGTTTACCTAGTGCCTGCCCTATTGTTGTAATGTTAATACTGCGCTTCAACAATGAAGGTCTTTAAATGTGTAACAAGGTTAGTAACTTAGTAATTACACTATTACATCAACAAATAAAAATTGTGAGAGATAAAACTCTCTGTTTAACCCTGCCCTACCAACTGTCACCATCACCGTGGTTCAGTGGAGTACTTAAGTAGCACTCGCCGCACCTGCTAGTGCTAGTGTCAGCAGCTGAATCAGGCTCCACTTCCCATCCAGCTTCAGCAAATTCCAGTAGTTTTATTAGCCTCTTATGATCACATTTGACTGTGCTTCTGGATAGATCTCAGAAGACGAGAACAATAATGAGGGGGAAAAATACCTATACAGTAGTTCTTTGCGTTTTTTACCTCCCGGCGATAATTATCAGACAAGCGCAAAACAGTGTGATAGGTTGTTGTTGTTGTTGGTGTTATAAATATAATGTTATTACTGCACTTCAACAAAGAAGAAGTTCAGACGCGTAACAAGATTAGTAATTACAAAACATGTTGAATAGTAAAAAGCATCTTTTGCACCGAGAAGCTATCTTGCAACTGGCAAATTCCAGCTCAAAAGCTTGAGCATACACACTCAGACTTCCTCTGATTTGGTTGGACATCCTGTATAATGAAGTAAGAAGTTAACAGGATATCCTGCAAACTTCTTAGTGTGAACTTAAGACCCTCTAAATTGTACTTTCTCAACTCAAATCGAAAATGGGTTAAGTTACTTGAAAGCCGTTTTTGCGTGTTTTTGCCACACAATTTGGGTTGAGTTTGGTAAGGTTTTCATGAATTTGCCCAAGAAATTAAAGGATTTCATTCAAACACTTCGAAATAAACAGGAAAAATATAATTTCGTCCAAAAAGTTGTGGACGCATTTAAAACGAATTATGAACCTTAAACTTAAAAGTTCCAGCCTTATATTTTCGAAAATATAACAGTACTGTATCCTGCTCCTTTTATATATCCTATTGATAGTCTAATGTTAACAAGCAATAATAAAGAGTGGGTTCTTATCAATATTAAATGCATTAAATAAAGAAAGGGCTCATAAAACTTATGAACATTCAACAGTCAACAGTAGCTTTACGAGTCACCTCTGGAACCTTCGGAAATTGGAAGAAAGACAGGTTTCTGTTCCTTATTGTGCTGTTGGAGTAATTAATAGCTACACAGTAACTGCGCTCCATTGCATATGGTAAAACAAACAGTGCACAAGACAATAAAAAAAACGTGAGTTCACCGAAATGTGCGTCTTCCTCCCTTTAATCCTTGCCTGCCAATTATTTTGTATACTGTACCTAGCAGCCGCTTGGCAGCGCCACATTCGGGAGTGAACGCGTTCGCCCAATGGGGTGTCATCCTCCTACACCTACAGTTCAAGTGAGGTCATAGGGGTTAACAGTGTTAAATATATTAACGCCATCACAATCACACTAAAAGGTATGTCCCTCAATATTGTCAATGCCTATGGCCTGGCACTGGACATTATTAGGGACCTGCCACGCTTTGCCATAAACAGATAAATTGTACTGGGAATCCCCCACACACACTCATCATTCTGTCACTTTATGTAACTTGCTGACAAAAACCATGACCCTTCAGGCTTTTACGCCCGTAATGCATTAGTCATAAAGGCAAGCATGAACTCTGCATGCTTCCCAGATGGGCGCTGTAAACGCTTCTGCGCTTCACCTTGCACAGGATGTAAGGGGGTGTCCAATAAACTAGCCCCCTCGGGGGCAATCTAAAAAAAAATCTATTAACGCCAAAGTTAAGCAAGTACTTAGCGAAACATAACAAAAAGTGTCAGCGTGTGTACCTTATAGTATTGGACTTTTGATGTGAAGTAAAAATGATTCTAATAAAGATACATATGCTGTAAAAATTAATGACTGTATGGCTAATACCTTTGAAAAGTCAGCTCGTAAATGTGCTTACGGACGTATAAATATATGGACGGGACAGACAAGGGTAATAAATAATACTGTTTGTTCCCCTTTCTCATTACTTACAATGCCTCAATGCCTTTAAATAAATATTTCTATTTCATAAGTTCTATGAACTTTTATCTAAAAATCCACAGAAATTCCTGTACCTCTTAATTCAATCAATAGCCTGACGAGTAAGTTAATCTCATCAGTGTATGTAGTTCACATTGCCTTCTAACCACGCCACTAAGACCATCAAATAACCACGACTTGTTTTCCTTTGTTTATTTTCGTATCGTTGTGATATCCTCCCATATGACGTGGTGTCGCAATGATATTGATAGAAAACGTATCATACCTTTATCAGCACAGTGCCCCCGAGAGCCCCTCTCACCCTATGATAAACAGTCTCAGAAGCATGCCATTGCTTCAATAACCATACTTAATTTTGTCGTTTTTATTAATAATACATTGCACTTAAGAGATTCCTAAATTCGAAAATCATTCCTCGAAACAATGTGATACAGTTGCGTTATTACAGTAAATGTTTAAAAAATTCCCTCCCTCTGCCTCTGTATCACATTAATTGTGTAGAGTTATGCGCATAAATTGATTGGAAGGTCGTGTGCACTGTACAGTATTATGTTTGCCCGTCCCCGTCATGAGTTAGGAATAAGGTTTCAGAAAAAAATGCCCCAACTGTTGAATTAAAGAACAAAGGTATGATAGTCTCACTGCTTTAGCCTTCACAGTTTCATTCAATGAATGTAATTTATAATGGAGATTATTATTATCAAATGCGATTCCGCAAAAGATACTGATATATCGATCGCCACTTAAATGCCTAGGTAATAAACACTTATCTTATAAGAAGCGATTAAATAAAATGTGTGGCAACTCGTCAGGATACTGTCACAATGAACAGCCTTGACTCACAGATGCGGATTGTTGCAGGTTCTATACTAGGGTTGCCTTCCCTGAGGTATAAATGAATTAGACAAGAAAAAGATTGTTACAGGGAGAATTACAAATAAAATCTTATCTGGACATTTGGGAATGCCATTTAAATGGAAAGTGAATCAATAAAACTCAATTAAAAATGCACAGACTCACTATCTTTCATACTATCATCCCACACCAAAAGTTATAAAAGTAATTTGCAAAAGGAAACGTTCAGGATAATGATAATAACAGCAATAAAGCAACAATATCGATATAACAATAGCAACAAAATAACAATAACTTAGTAATAAAATAATAATATTTGTAACAGCAAAATTAGTAGCACAATAATCATCTGTTCCAAACAATAGTAATACATAAAAAAATTCACATAACTAGCCATAAACAATTGTTATATAATTCATGAATAATTAACAATATAGTGTAATTTGAATTAGAGCTCTGTATACATATCACAGGGAGAAGCCTCTGCCCCTCCTACCCCCCCCGAACTCAAACTGTAACCATGGAAAAACAGAAGAAATGCAGAAGCGGTTGCGTACGCAATTGGTCCACAAAAGCAAGAACTGAATGGAGAGGACAATACAACTAACAAGACGAATCACATTTGCCAGAGAGGGGCGGAGCGTACGTGCTGGTGATGTGATGACGTAAATATAAATTGCGCAATGCTGAGTGTGGTGTCGAACTCAACCTTGCTCGCAACTGCGCATGCTGAGTTCATTCCTTTCGTTGTTTAATTCAAAGAATGACTACACGAGAATATTTTTTACACAAGGATTTTTGATCGAGAAACGGAATTTGAAAAAAAAATAAAAATGCAATTTAAGATAGCAAAAAAAATTACAAAACTATAATTTTATTGTACAGTATACTGTATATGAGTTTATAACATTGTTTATATAACAGGGGACACCAATCCACTTCCCATATATTTCTATATAATCTTCACTGGTGTTTCCTCCAAATTTCCTGAATGTTTTTATATCTAATGCTTGAACTCTTACTGGGCTTTGATATATTTCGTGGGGCAGTCATTGATATCTGTGGTCCACTGTTGGTCAGTCCTTCTTTCAGTAGGAACATTGCCACTAATGTTTCAGGTCATGAGATCTTAAAGATCTCATGAACCATTCTTTTTTCTTCTGTCTCGTGGTGTCTAAATTGGGTACATCTGTGACCTGCCAATAATTCTTCGAGAAGCTTGGCCAGATATGCACTGGTAGTACGAAATACTGTACTCAAATAATTAACTTAGAAGACAAAGAGGTACAGTGTTTTTTTCAGTTATAACTTGCCTTTACAATGGCAATCTATTTAATTTAAATATACGTATTTTTAAATCGCTCACCAGATTTTCCTTAGCTAACAATTGTGCACTCGTAACTTTCTCGATTTTTAACTTTTATGTATTGGTATATAATTTTTGAACTTGTCGAACCGCCGTTTAGGTCAAGCTCGTTTTACATCATGTCCTGCCCTTTCACTAAATTCACTCAGCGCTTATATTCGTTGTATAATAACTGGGATTTATGTAAATGCTATGGACTAGCAAAATTAAGGTAATTTAAGAAGACATAAAGTAAATTCTTAACTTTTTTGTGCAACCTGATAATAGAAGTTTCTTCAATACCCTGCTTCTCAGAGCATTTATGACAAATTTCATATATAGTTGATTAACTGAAAGATTTTTCATAGCCGTTAAATGCTAAATATAACGAAATTCATAGTCCACTCACTGCAGTACTTCAGCATGACGTGAAAATGAGTTGAAATGACTGAGGATATTATGCTCTCAAATCATTTGTTCTCTCTGTTAATTGGAATTGGATTTTGTTTAGTTTGAAGGTGAGTATTTTATCTGTAAGAGAATTATACTGTAATTCGACTTGAAATAGTTTCAGGTAATTGAGTATTGATATATAAAATGCAGGACAGAATAGTCGGGACAGGAATCTTAAATTCCCGTGGATTTGTGAACGTTAAAACAACATTGCTTTACTACAACAGAAATAGGAATGAGCATATACATTTAATACTTATAAGAATGCTATTAGAAAGCTGTGAGTACCTCCTATATTTTCAATGCTCCCTACACTTTCAGTGTTCTATATCCTAAGTTCCTCCTACACTTCCATTTCCAGTGCTCACCTGCAGTGTCAAATGCTCCCCGTGTACATTCAACATGTGCACCTTTACATTCCCTGTGTTCCTCTAATCATAGATGATACATTACTCCCCATCGGCATATTCAACGTCCTCCCAGCTATTTTAGTATCTTACCCTAATTTTCAGTTCCTCTCCGAGGACCCCCAACAACATACAGAGAAACGCAAAGGAGTAATTCCATATGAAACATCATTTGATGTTCAAGAATGATTTCACAAAACAAAACAGATCCAAATAGGACAGCCTAGAACACACTGTAATGGTTTTAGTAAGGAACCTTTTGTATTGATGAACCCATCGTTTAGGAACCTACAATCAGAGACGTGACCGATCGCCCAAGCGGCTAACGAGCCGATCAGTGGCGAAGAGGATAAAAGTAAAAGCAAAAGTAAAAGTAATAAAAATGAGGCGAATCACAATGAATAAGAATCAAAACTTAAAGAAGTATTTCTTGTACAGTAACATGGAAAGGGTCTCAGTAAGGAATTCATAGTAACGCTATATTTTTTTTAAGGAAATAATAGTATTGTCCACGAAAAAATAATATGAACTAATCGGAGGAGTACCAGATTAGGGAACCTGCAGTTGCAGTTATGACAAACCGACTGAACTACTGAACAGCTCTATTTGATACAGAATCCACCGTTAAAAAAATCTTAATCATATCAAGCTAGACTTTTGGGCTTAGACCAGATCTTGGAATACAGCAGCTCTGTCACCAAAGTTCAGTCTAGACAAGGAATACAGAGCAGCTTTTTCTTATACAATCCTGAACCCATGGGACGAACAGTTGTAATCAGCCCTTGTGAAAAACAAAAATGGACGGTTTCACTTGTGAACTTTGTCGGGGTTGCGTTTTATGTATGACTCAACAATTCATGTACATTTTAGATCATGAATTTCCCTTTCGTATTATCACATTCTTGTTATTATTATAGCTTTAAAAATATATTTGAGCGGCTATGATAATTAGATAAGTTTCCTATAAAACTGTATTGAGGTAACCGTTTTCTGTGTGGGATGTTTTCTCTCACAGTGGCCTCCATAGCGACACAGATAACAAGTCATTCCCACGGTACCAGTACACGAAGCTGTTTCCCCATCTCTTACTTAAAATGTCGGACAAGCGAGGTAAGTAAGACTCTGTTTTGTTTCCCTATACATTCTATAATACCTAGTGTATCTGTTATTACCGTAAGGACGATCGGGGAACGGGATTTGTCTGGAAATGATAGAAATAACAGTTTGAGACGCTCTTGGTGTTTTTGTTTGCCTTGCTTATAGCAGTCCGCGATGATTTGATATTCACCGTGTGCTTTCAAAATGGCGATAGTTTCTCTAATTTAACCTTGTTTTATGTATTTTATACCAGAAATAACGAAATAGTGCCGGGAGGTATGAATAATACCAAATTAATGTCTGTTCCCCGGCAAAGCTAATGCATTATGTATTCAGCAAGCGGGGAGGGAGGCAGAACCACCTGAACCTCCACACCACACACAATTTCTTTGCCGGTGTAGAATTTTCTTGATATTATGTAAAATGTTGACTTTAATGTACCCATATTGGCTGATTTAAAGAGGTTAGACAGTATTAGGACAACACCCAACCCCTGAAATACCGCAAAACAATTTGGTGAAGAAGTTCAAGTGTATGATAGGTAAAGGTTAAGGAGATGGGTGCCACATTATTACTTCGATTTTTTTAACAGGATCTTCACTAATATCATTATATTAACGTACGTAATAAAAATATGCTGTGGAAATAAGAAAAATAATTGTTTAGGATGGTAATGTGATTGATTTTGAAGTATTTAGTTGCCATTTCTTGTACAGATGTCATATACCTTTATTTATTTTCCGTTTATTTAGTGAGCATCTTGAACTTCGGATCTTATTGATTCAATTTTTGTTAAGATTATATGAAATTTTGTTTAAGGTCCAGTTTAGGGTACTGTACTTCTCTTTTGAGCATGGTTTGTATTGTAAAGGGTTTTCATATACATTTTAATGTATAGGATTCAAATTGTTTTAGTTGAGAGAATACACATTGGGGTGAATGACCATAGAAAGGATAACTGAGTTTGCTTAATACATGTACTTTCAGCACTTCAGAGATAAGGAAAATCATTACAGTAGTGTACTTAATTGTGCACAATGTTGACAAATGAACTGCTAAGTAATATATTCTATAGTTTTTTAACCTTAAAGGTTCATGCTTGCTTAACCCATATATATATATATATATATATATATATATATATATATATATATATATATATATATATATATATATATATATATATATATATATATTAATTGTGAAAGGATTTGAGTCCATAGCCTACTAGCAGTTTAAGTTTGGTAAATTAAAATTAATTTGGGTGAAGGTAGAGTTCCATTTTACGGAATGCCTGGGTAGGCAAGGACAGTACCTCGCCTATTTAACGTACCAGCTTCTGTAGCCTGGTACTCCTGCTAATACTGTAATAATTTTAAACCTCAATGATGTTATGTTCTTAGTATATTTTTGCCCAGTACTGTAGGTTTCTAGTTTCCAGTCATTTTCTGCCTGTATTGTTTTCGAGAAAATAATTAAAAGGGAAAGCTAGGTTGTGATAGGTATAGTTTTCTTGAAAGTTACATTTCACTAAAGATTACTGGAGACCTCGGGTATTGTACAGTACTGTACTTTTTTTATTTGCTGGAACATTACCAGTTTAACATAAATACCATAAACATGACTTAAATCTTGTGAATGCAGGGTACCATACCCAACTTATTAAGGTATTATTACCGTTTCGGTCATCCAGTGAATTTTAGTAGGTTTGGTTACGTTGCATCTGAGAAACAGTGCTGTGACCGATTTTTACCAGTTGGGGTTAGGTTAGGTGAAGTTCAGAATAGGTGGGTAACCGAAACGATAATTTTACGGTACCCTTATTACCCAAGCTCTAGAGTTAGTATGGGTACCCATCTACAATATGCACGTTCTTCCAGTTATATGCTGTGCTTATTTATCCAGTCATGTACCTTTACTATCTTCCACTATCTTTCTAGGATTCATTCTGATTGATGATGCTGAACTTAAAATACTAAATTCTGTCTCTTGCAAGCCTAACCTAACCAAAACCAAACCGTGTTTGCAATTGACCAAATTCAGTAATCTAGGACATCATTGTTATCAAACTTGACCAACAAAAATGAATACTGGACAAATAGTGGAAATAATTAAAGGTTCATAACTTGACAAATAACCACTTTGTTAATTTTAACAGGCTTGAACCATTGAGTACTGCTAGATACGAGTACTGTACACTAATCTCCCCGATAGCTGGATAGCTGGAATATTTGGTGCCGAGTTCTGGGTTTGAGAGATTTCCAGGTAATGTATCACTTATCAAGACATATTTTCATCCTCAAGAGTTTTTCCGGGTGTTGGTTAATGTTTCCATGTCGAACTCCAGTTTTACAGACACAGCTGTTCAGAAGTGTATTTAATTATGTAAACACTACTGTACACATACTGTACAATATATTGTAAATACTAAACAAAATGTACACTATACGTACTTTACTGTACCCGCCAGCGGAAGCTGTTGTCTTGAGCTTGTGATACAGGATGGCCTGCTTTGTCCTGTTCCATTTACTGTAGAAACTGGTGCTGTCACTCTCCTCTCCTTCCATGAAGGAGGGATTGTAAATGCACTGTAGTGTACACACTAGCCTACAGTAGGTATACACACTCCATTCTATGGACAAATCTGTACATTGGTACTTGCACACTTAAATAAATGTGTACTGTATAATATATGTAACTGTAATCTCGTTTTACGTCGTGACACTGCTTTAACGATATTCATGGCTGATTATATCCTGGACCAGTACTGTATTGCACAACACGTCATATGCAAACTCGGCAGTGATCGAGTGAATATGCTTGTACAGTGACTGCAGACAATGAGCTAAGTTTGAGGAGATGGGCTGTGAGATACATAAGGCCAATCATAGGCATCCCATGCAATCACATGACAGAAGTCGCCAATCATAGCTCACAAGCACTCTGAGCTTGCCCACCCACCCATACATGCTCAACATGTGTTGGCACATAATGCTGTATAACAGTAATTTGTTCAAATGTCCGTCAGGGAGAGATTTTTCCAGAATTTCTCGGGATGCTTAAAAAAATCCAGGTAATGGAGAATTCTGGGAACAAAGATTCTGCTGAAATGGGAGTTGTGCCTGTGTGTCTTATATTTTGTAAAATACAGTACAGTGTACTGTATGCCATTAATTTGTTATTGCTAGATATTTTCCCTTGTAAACTTTGACTTTTATCTTTAGAAAATGTCAAAGTTGTTGGTTCATGCACCTAACCATCTTAAAAATTATTGCCCCTAACTTGCCAAGCTGGGGTGTTAGGTTAACACTGGGGTGGTTAATCTTCAGGTGTAATGAGTTTTGGGGGGGGGGGGTGTATCTTCAGTTTATCTGAAGGCAGGATTCCTGGATGTTTTTGTTGAGGCTATGGGTGGGGAGGCTTCTTAAGGAAAGCATCAAGGGTGGACTCCCTTGCTCACTTCACTGTGCAGCATCTTTCTCAATTGGGATCATGCTCTTACAGAACCTCCATTGCATGAAACCTCGCTCGGCAGTCAGACAATAACTTCATTGTCAAGACTCTGGGAAGCCACTTTGTTGTTGTCTGCACTTAGCAATGTGTTTTCTTTTTTCTCCTTCAGGATTCATTAACAGAGGTGTTACTGTGTTTTGGTGAGGTTAGGTTTGCTGTACTGTATCATTTTCAGTCATATATTAAAGAAGGTGTATAAGAGTCAGTGCCCAGATTCTTGGACATTGTCCATTACTGTATAATAAGAAATAATATAGTCTTTGTTTATCTTTTTTGTGAAGAGGCTACTATGTACACTAAACTACAGTACAGGGTACTGTATCTGAAAGATAATCTTGTACTACTATATGTAGATTTTGTTTAATTTATAGTAGGACATAATTATTTATTTACTTGTTTATTTTTTCTCATGATAATTTTAGACAAAAACAAAATGATTTTCTTCTATGACACTATGGCGCATTTACCCATAATCGAGATATTGTGAGTTGAAAATCGGAAAACTACTATAAAAGTTATTGTTGCATTTGTTTCCACTAACTGAATCTCAGGAATTTTATCATTGCAAACAATAGTTTAGACAATTCTAAGACTTTTCCGTTGCAAATACCCTTGTACTGATACAAAAGAGTCAGCAGGATGCTTGCTAGCTATTTTCAGAGTTACAGAGTTACACTCATCACCAAAACAGCAAAATCTGAACGATATTGTTTTCCTTTTGCCAATAACGACAAAGTATCAGCATTCACAATGTTTTGCAATGGCAGATGTGATCATATTGAAACAAAGTGCAGGACTGTAGTTCACATGGTGGCTTTGAGACTGCGTATGGGTAGGTGAAGTTGCGCAGAGGATGGAAAAGCCGTTTCTGCGCGTATCGGCTGTCTTGGATTTGACAAGTGAAGGGAGAAAAGTGCTTTCCCGGTGTTTACATTCAGTGTCAGTGAGTTTAGCCTAATAATGACTGTCATTAATGTGGATTTTGCCTAACGTATATTGTGGGAGGGTTTTAAAACCTAATTAACATTATCGTGGATTATCTTAAAACAGATGGGCATAAATCGGGGATACCTGTACTCCCCGAGTGGTCAAACTTGTGCAACTGAAGCAGATTCAGCGGTTAGTCGCAGCTTCAAACGCTCAGCTCATGGCGACGTTGTCATGGTATTTCTGTTGTTGTTTTAATTACAGCACTGTGCGTATACTGTATGTATTGATATTTATTCGGTTTAAAATAATTCTTACAAGTATACAATTGGTTCAGATGTACTGGTATGTAGACAATGTAGGTATAAGTATATAGTTCAGCATGTATATAGGCAACACATGTACTGGCAGTCCTACTTATGACGGGGTTAAGGACCCAAATCCAGGTCACAGTCGAATTGGCCGGAAGTCGAAAATGCAAAAAATAATACATAGAAAATCTAAAATGAAATACAGTACAGTAAAAGTAATCAATAATGAAGAATGAATACAGTGTTACTGTGCACTTACCTTTAATGTAGTCACCTGAATGCACACTTGACCCCAATAATTTTTTAATTAAACATGGAGACTACATTAATTGAATGAAGCAGAGGAGGAGACAAGGCTGGGTGGATCATCAATGTCACTTTCTTCAGACAGGCTAACATACTTGCTTGTTTAAGCTATTGGATCATCTTTAGGGAGTGAAGATGCAGCACTGGTGGGGCGTGAGGAGACAGCAGTGGGGGGACTCCTTAAAACATATGTCCAATTTAGACTGCACAGTTTGCCTTTTCTTTTCATTGTAAATATCCCTGTAGCAAGCAAGTGCATCTTGGATCATTCTGTCTACTTTTGCAAAACGCTCAACATTTTGATCCATTTCATCAAACATTTACATCCCTTTAATAATAGTAGCAAATGCCTCTGCCATTTGTTTCTTCTGAACACCACCAGAACTCTCACTTTTACGCTTGCCAGTCATTTTAAAGGGAATTAGAACCGAAAATATTGTCAGTACACAGCGCAATCACTACCGACAACAATGACAGCCAAACACCAACTGAATGCGCTATGGTGTAGACGCTGTACACTACGAGGGGGCCCAGCCCACGCCACGCTCTCGTACGGGACGGAAACTTTTCAGTACTGGAAAATACGTACCAAATTTGAAAAATTTTTGGTACGACGGAAGCGGTCGTGTGTCCGGATGGTCGTATGTCGAGTAGGTCGTAAGTCGAGGACTACCTTTGTATGTATATACAGTGTACATAGGGCGTGCAGCTATAAAACCAATGTATCTAAACTGAGGGAGGACACAAACTACAAACAGTAAACAGTAAATTGATTTGACCATAGGTAACCAACTAAGCCACCAGATGCTTATTTCCAGACAGGTACATTTTATAGGTTTGGATATTTTCTGAATTAGCAAGAATAAAATGTAAAATGTGTTGAATTATATAACAAGTATTGCACTGTCCTTGGACTATCTGAGGCTGATAGATCACTTCAACATTGTAATATTCATTGGTTAGTAATATAGAAACACACTTATCTTCCTGGGGCGAGTTGTTCTGATCCTCGATAGCTGTAAAAAAAGTTTTTCTACAGTATTTCTCTTGACAAAGGAGATTGGGTACCATAGCTATTCACAGCTAGTGCTATGCTGGTTCTTATCTCAAATTCTTTCAATTTTTTTTTTAAATACTCTGTGCACAGTCCATGGGAAACCTGAAAATGGAATTTAACCTAAATTTTTCCATTATTTTGCAGGACTTTGACCAGTATGATCTCTCTTGTTCATGCCCTAAACACATGATTGGTTTAGAAAATTGTTGCCTAATTTCCTAATAAAATTGATGTAAATTGATGACTTGCTGTACTTTCTTGTTACCCTTACAGCACTGGATTCTGTCAACAAATATATTGGTCTGCAGAGTAATTTTACTTAGTGAAAACAGTATTTATCTTATATTTTTTGTAATTTTTTGTAACCCCTCAATTTTTTACCAAAGTTTTCAGTTATCTTTTTATTTTATTTACTTATTTTTTTTGTAATTCTAACCCGAGATTTTACATTTTTACTTCATTCCCTTCCTTTAAATAGGTTGGAACAAACTGAAAGTGTTGAATAATGAATTACTTGTTCTGTACAGTGCTGTACTACTGTATTAGGATATTATATACACAAACCAGGTATCCAAAAGTATTATAAAATTGAAAATTACGTTATTACTGTACAGTACAGGACAATATAGTATAGAAACTTTTTAAATACAGTAAGAGCTTCGTTATCTAGCACACTTTAGTAATTGTCATTTTATTATATCTACCAAACCATTTATCCAATCTGTTTATACAGTATTTTGTACAGTTTCAGTTTTAAGCGTATTAAGTGAATTTTTAAATGGTACTCTTTAGTGCCTAGAATTAATCTCCTAAGATTTAATGTAATTTTAAGTTATATGTACTGTAATGCATAAGATTATGCATTATTTTTTTGTTTAGGGGAACTTAACCTGTTAACTTTCATGTCATTCCATATAACAGGACCACCACCTGCCTCACCGTATGGTGCTGCAGCACCAAATGTGAGCTATGCACCAATGATTGCCACAGGTGCACCACCATCCTATGTGGAGAGCCTGAGCCATCAAGTTGTTGCAGGTCCTGGTGTATCACCCCAGTACCCTCCTCCATATGTCACTCCAGCCTCTGCTGCAGCAGCTTCTGCTGCCCAGTTGCAGAATTATAAGGTAGGTGGTGTGGTGTCTATTCATAAAGGAGTGATACATTTTATCTTTTAAACTTGTTGTACTGTACAGTATGTAGCTTAAAAATCAATGAGAGTCATTAATTGAATGTACAAGGCATGTCTGAAATTATAATAGGAAGAAATTGTCACTAATATTAATGGGATAATGCAATCAAAGGTGTTTGGGGAAGTTTGAGTTGAGTTTAAGTTAATTTGTATCACTTTAAAATGAAATCTAGGTTTAAGCCCATGAATGGAATGGATATTAGCAACTGTTTTTTTATTAATTTTTTTGTAATTGGGAATGTTTGTCTTATACTTTGATTATTTAGGATAAATTACCTTGCCAGCTATATGTACAGTATTTCTATCAAGTATACAATCAGGTAGTCTGTAGGTTCTGGCATTGGTGTTACAAATTTTAGGTAGAGGAAGAACTGCCACATTAATGCAGTATGAATCTACTGCCGAACAATATATTGTACCTGTGTGAGATGTGCAAGTGTTAACAATTGTATGTTTCTTATTGGATATATTTTATGGACAATAAAAGGGAAGTTAGTTTTTACTAATATATTCACGGCCTGGATAATTTATAGTGTACGGGGTTTAGATTTTACTTTGAAATTAATGACTTTGATAATTTAGAATGTACTGTATATGTTACAGTAACAAAAAATGCTGATGGAATACCATCAGCTAACCATTTGTTATGATTTATGATGTGCAAATATTATTTAACACCATTTGTATATGCTCAGTTTAAACATGATACATTTTATTTACTTGATGTTGATTGCTTGTTTTTTTTTGCCATGCTGCCACCCTAAAATTTGCTTTAAGATTGAAATTACTAGTATGGTAGTTATTGACTGAATTTATAAGTACGAACGGTAGTTATTGACTGCCATTGAATTCCTCTGTAGACTCCATAGAAGTTGTTAAATGGTGACCCTGTAATGATTTAAGATGCCCAGATGTCTCACTATGCAAGTTCATGGCTTAAGTCAGTTTATCCAGTGCAACTGGATTATCCGATGAAATTGAACCCAAGTTACATGGTGAATTCCTATGCGGTTATGTGAAGAGGCCATGGAAAGAACACTCGTTTTAAAGCAGTAAATTTTATTATGCAGGCTGGTCTTTGGTGTTTGGATTAAACCACTAAAGTGCTTTACATTGTAACATATGGGTCATTGATTTTGATGTGGATATTTATCCATATACTGGACAGTACAGCCAGATGAACTGTTTTATACATCTACAGTACATAGCGAGGTTGCTCATGCTATCTTAAGCAAAGAATACGGTCATCGCCAATTTCTTACTTTTCTCTTTAATATCATTGTGAGGGAAAGGTTTATTAATCATCATCAGGAAAACTAGTAAATTTTACAATGGATAATATTATCGATCCTTAATCTGTACACAACTTCTTTTTTTATAATGTGCACATTTAAGTCTCATAATGTTCCTATTTATTGAACATTTGACCATACTTTTGGGATACTTTCTTAATACAGCAAGTTTCTTGTATTAATTGCCTCCTGTTTGATATGGATCATTGGAAAGTGGGTTCTGTCCATAGTAGTCTCCTGATTGTCCATGGTGACAGAAAATGTCCCCATTCTGTCTGGTATGTTTGAAATACTTTTAACTTCCATTTATTTTTAATTTCCTGCTGAGTCATAAAATTACCAGACCACTAGTCACATTTTAGATTGTGACTGTGTTGGGGGGTGGCACCATATCAAAGACCAGACTGGATCTGACCTCAGTATCCCTAACCTTCACACAGTTGCTCAGTTGAGGTTAAGTATGTATAACAGCCCTGGTCAGTTTACTCCACTTGAACTGTGAATTCAGTACCATCAAGTGGCAGTTTGTGCATTACTCTCCAGCTACAGGTTAATGTACAGTACACTCGGTAAAAAAATATTCTGCACCCTTGGCTCTGAAACCATTCACAACAATCGCTGCGACAGAAGCCGTGATGAGCGTTACCAGATTTTTTGGTCTGTTGTGTAATATTGTATAACCCCATAAAGGTGCAGAATAATTTTTTTAGTGAGTGTATATTTAAGAATATTTGAAGTGCATGGTGATTTTATTTACCTTATCCAATCATAGTCCATGTAATTGGATAAAAATCCACCATGCCTCTTAAAATCGGTAGATGGATCTCCGACATCTTTTTCATTGATTGACAGTACAGTATTGCACATTTCAATGAATTCCGATAAGACTGACCTTAACCCAGATGTAGTTGAAGGATATGCTTTAAAGTCTTACGAAAGGCTTAGGGTCACTAATTCAGTCTTGACCTTAGTGGTGCAAAAAATTACTGCATATAAATTACAAATCCATTATTCATTGGACTACTGTGTTAGTTTCATTGCCTGGTACCCATAATGTGGTTGTCCTGCTCTGATCTGTTTTCTTAATGAATTAAGCAGAATATTTATAAATTCCTTTGCTTAATTCCATGATTCATTTGCTAAAAATTATTTAGGGTGCAGTACCAAAAAACCCAGAAAATTGGAAATGTTCAGCAAATGAAGATTGTGAGTGGTTGTGACTTTTCTCAACTTTGGATCTTTGGTTATTTAACAAAATTTGCCCTGTCTTGTGTGTTCATACATAGATTGTTTGCATTTGATATTGTTGACTGATTAATTTTTTTTTTATTGTGACCTTGTCACCAAGATTTTTTACTATGGATTGTAGAATGTCATTGTACAGTCTCACCCAAAAGTTCGTTAACTCTCCCAGCCAGCTATTGCTGCACTACCTGCTTCAGATGTTTGAAACTGTCTCTGTACGAACCAGAACATGAAACCAATATGAATGAATCTAAAGGTTTGAAGTAACAGACCCAAGTTCATGCATCTGAAGCAGGCAGTGCAGCAATAGCTGGTTGGGAGAGTTAACAAACCTTTGGGTGAGACTGTACTTACAGTAATGGTGTATTTTATTTCATCTCCTGTATATTTCTTTTTGTATTGAAACTTATTTTTCAATGAATCGCCTCTTATTTTGCTTAATGGTGCATTTATCAGTACTTCTTAATTTTTTATCGTGAAGAAATTTTATTATTGTAATCCTTGAAACATTTCTTATATTCCCATGGAAAAGATTAAAATTTCTGTTTCCTATCTGCCTGGATATCTCAATTTTTGTTATTGTATAGAACAAGCTCAAGTATCCACACAACTGTGCCGTATTTATTAAACTTTACATGAATATGTATACCTCATTAAATGAATTGTAGGACACCTCATTCAAGTTTTTCAGATTAAGGTCACAGTTGAAGGTCAGAAGGTAAGGACTATGTCCAAATCCTAATACTTGTATTGATTTAAAAATTTCAATGAAACTTGATATGAAAATGTTAAACTGCATCATCACTCAACATTTCAGATTGAAGGTCCAAAGTCACACTTATAGCTTCGGACATATTATGTTCTACAGCCCCTTTTTTTATGTACTACAAATTACAGTATTGTTAATCTACTATACAGTACAGTACTACCTCTGACAACTTTGTAGTATTGGTGTCTGAGGTTGGGTTGAGATTAGTTCTGTAATGTGACAATCCCAAATTAGACCTTTTAAGAATTTTAACTTATATCTTGTTCTTCTTTTGGGGAGACATACCGTTTCCTTGAAATTATAAAAAGTCGAGGGGTGAAGAATCCGTTTCTTCCTTCTGATTGAGTTTTATAAGAAGGTCATATCAGTGCTTAGATATGAAAAGGACAGGTACCACTTATGATTACAATATACAGTACATTGATAGCATTTTTTCATTGGCTCTTACTTTCTGTTTTTTGAACAGAAAAGCTCATACAAGATGCCTTGTGTTGTATTCATGGTCATTGGTGGTAATAATTTTTATTTGTCATATTTTGGTAACTTCTTGATAAATTCATTTAATATTTGTATTTGAACATGATTATGGATAGTGGGCAAGCTGCCCTCTCTTTGGACAACATTTATTAAGGAATTGCTCGCTCCTTATGAGCTTTGTTCAATATACTACTCATAATACCTGAGGTAATCTCTTTCAAGTACTGAGAGGTTGCTCATAATTGCAGTAACTTAAGTGAGGTCATCCCCATATGTACTTTACAAATATACCTAACTTATTTCTTGGCTCGGTTTATAATGCATCATTATTCCTGTAGCATTAGTGACAGCCTCCATTCTGTCTTAAGGTACAAAGTAACTATAACCTTAAGGAGTCTTTTTTTTTTCAACATCATTGTGAGGGGGGGGGGGGTTTAAGAGATTTAGAAACCAATACTGTCCATCTATAGGACATTAGTTTCTAGAACATGACTGAAACTGTTAAAGAAACCTTAATGAAGTTTTTGTGAAGATGTAACAAGTGGTAAGGAGGCACTTTGTTAAAAACTTGCTATAATTTTAATATTTACATAGTGGGGGGTTTAAGATGACTGTCTTTTTAAAATTTGTATCATAAATTCTCCCATGCATAAATGTACTAAGTCATGGCTTACTCTCATCTGATTTAATCTATTTGTTAAAACAACATTCACTTTCAGACATAAGTAGAAGCAAAGCATTAAATGTGCATTATAAGGAATCCGCACTTTCCAAAGTTATTTCTACTGCCTTTCTTTTGCATGTTTTCTAAAATTAAAACTTGAGCATTTTTTTCTTTTAATTTTTTCCAGGATCATAGTTGCAAAAATTATATATACATTAATGTTTTTATTAAAATTCTGCCTGATTTTTATACTGGGGTTGTGCTACCTTTTAATGGTCTACACCCTGCTAGCTGAGGAATTATAGCTTCTTGTCACACACCCATACACTCCATGTTCAGTCTTGCACTATACACTATTACATCTATTGTATTTAATCTCACTCAACTCATTTATCACAACTCATTTTTACAGTCCAGGTTATTGCCTTTGCTTCCTGCTTTGCTATAGCGTCTCAATATCAAAATTTTTTAAAGTACTTTAATTACAG